TTGTCAATGTGTGCCTATTCTGACATTCCCAGATAGGAATCCCCCATATATATACATACATACATACAGTGCATTTGGAAAGTATTCAGACCCTTGACTTTTTCCACATTTTGTTATGTTACAGCCTTATTCTAAAATTGATTAAATAGTTTTTTCCCCTCATCAATCTACATACAATACCCCATAATGACAAAGCAAAAACAGGTTTTTAGAAATTTGTGCAAATGTATAAAAAAATTAACGTAAATATGACATTTACATAAGTATTCAGACCCTTTGGCAGCGATTACAGCTTCCAGTCTTCTTGGGTATGATGCTACAAGCGTGGCACACCTGTATTTGGGGAGTTTCTCCCATTCTTCTCTGCAGATCCTCTCAAGCTCTGTCAGGTTGGATGGGGAGCGTCGCTGCACAGCTATTTTCAGGTCTCTCCAGAGATGTTAGATCGGGTTCAAGTCCGGGCTCTGGCTGGGCCACTCAAGGACATTCAGAGACTTGTCCTGAACCCACTCCTGCATTGTCTTGGCTGTGTGCTTAGGGTCGTTGTCCTGTTGGAAGGTGAACCTTCGCCCCAGTCTTAGGTCTTGAGCCATCTGGAGCAGGTTTTCATCAAGGACCTCTCTGTACTTTGCTCCTTTCATCTTTCCCTCAATCCTGACTAGTCTCGCAGTCCCTGCCGCTGAAAAACATACCTACAGCATGATGCTGCCACCACCATACTTCACCGTAGGGATTGTGCCAGGTTTCCTCCAGATGTGACGCTTGGCATTCAGGCCAAATAGTTAAATCTTGGTTTCATCAGACCAGAGAATCTTGTTTCTCATGGTCAGAGTCCTTTAGGTGCCTTTTGGCAAACTCCATGCGAGCTATCGTGCCTTTTACTGAGGAGTGGCTTCCGTCTGGCCGTTCTACCATAAAGGCCTGATTTGGTGGAGTGCTGCAGAGATGTTTGTCCTTCTGGAAGGTTCTCCCATCTCCACAGAGGAACTCTGGAGCTCTGTCAGTGACCGTCGGGTTCTTGGTCACCTCCCTGACCAGGGCCCTTCTCCCCCGAATGCTCAGTTTGGCCAGGCGGCCAGCTCTAGGAAGAGTCTTGGTGGTTCCAAACTTCTTCCATTTAAGAATGATGGAGGCCACTGTGTTCTTGGGGACCTTCAATGCTGCAGACATTTTTTGGTACCCTTCCCCAGATCTGTGCCTCGACACAATCCTGTCTCAGAGCTCTACGGACAATTCCTTCGACCTCATGGCTTGGTTTTTGCTCTGACATGCACTGTCAACTGTGGGACCTTTATGTAGACAGGGGTGTGCCTTTCCAAATCATGTCCAATCAATTGAAGTTACCACAGGTGGACTGCAATCAAGTTGTAGAAACATCTCAAGGGTGATGGAAACAGGAAGCACCTGATCTCAATTTCGAGTCTCAAAGCAAAGGGTCTGAATACTTATGTAAATAAGGTCTTTATTTAATTTTTTATATATATATATTAGCAACATTTTCTACATCTGTTTTCGCTTTGTCATTATGGGGTGTTGTGTGTAGATTGAGATTTTTTATTTATTTAATCAATTTTAGAATAAGGCTAACGTAACAATGTGGAAAAAGTCAAGGGGTCTGAATACTTTCCGAATGCACTGTACATACATACATACATATTAGAAGCCCCTAGTCTACTCCTAACACCCCTTAATACTGAGCAGAGGTGTGTGTGTGTGTGTGTGTGTGTGTGTGTTCGTGCGCCCCTCAAAGCTGTAACACCCCAGATTTGGGAAGAAACACTCCAACAAAGACACCTAGTTTGGGAGAACCCGTTGCGTTTATTTTTTTACCACCACTCCTCTCTTGTGCTACCCAGACAGCATTGAATTCTGTTGAGTCATTCAATCTATCAATACTTACTGTTATTTTTGTCTGTGAAAAGCTTTCATCCAGTCAAAATTAAACAATGACTATAACATATGATTTAAGATTATGATGAAAAATATGTTTTGTAATTATGTTTTTGTGTATAAATTTATGTAGGTCCTTTGCTTTCATCTCTGATTATGCCATGTATTTGATTGAGATGTAACAGAATAACAGTGCATTTCCCTGGTTTTGATTTCTGTTCTATACCATTGAAGTTGGACAATTTGTTAATAAAGTCTGCAAGTTTTTATAATGTTATCCACTATTTTGTAGGCACAGGACTGACAGGAGGGAGGATTATAGGGCCGGGACCAGTCTCCTCTGACAAGAACCCCTACACTAACCCACATTCCCACTCAGATTAGGTTCCAAACCAGGAGGGTCTTTGTTCATTCCAGCCCTTAGCACACAAATCCTCTAATCTACAGCCACGAGTAGCCAGAATTGACAAACAATTCTGAAGCACACCCAGTGATGCCAGCTTCAGTAGACTAATTGAGAATGCCTGAGTGAAACTGTGTTTTTTTTACACCTGCATGCCTAGCCTACTCTGTGGGCCTGGCTGTACTAGACTTGGCCATTCAAGGTAGTTGACCTACATTCAGGATGAATACTCAAACATATCATATGCCAGAGGTGCTCTCAGGCCATGAGGCGGCAGGTAGACTAGTGGTTAGGAGCGTTGGTCCAGTAAGCGAAACATCGCTGGTCGAATCCCAGAGCCGACTAGGTGAAAATCTGTCAATGTGCCCTTGAGCAAGGCTCTTAACCCTGCTCCTGTAAGTCGCTCTGGATAAGAGCATCTGCTAAATGACTAAAATGTATAAATATGACTAGTGAATTACCTGTCTGTAGGGAACACACTGCCTTGCTTTGTCTGCTTGCGTGGGGTTAACCCTTCATGTGTCCCACCTCAACCTGCCCCAGTAGTCAGTGTCCGATAATACAGCTCCCGATAAAAACATTTCTACAAAGAAGGCCCTTATGCCGCGACTTATGCATCTGGCCCAGAATACACAGACATACAGTACCAGTCAAAAGTTTGGGCACACCTACTTATTCAAGGGTTTTTCTTTATTTTTGCTATTTTCTACATTGTAGAATATTAGTGAAGACATCAAAACTATGAAATAACACGTATGGAATCATGTAGTAACCAAAAAAGTGTAAACAAATCAAAATATATTTTACATTTGAGATTCTTCAAAGAAGCCACCCTTTGCCTTGATGACAGTTTTGCACACACTTGGCATTTTCTCAACCAGCGTCATGAGGAATGCTTTTCCAACAGTTTTTGGGCTGCAATTTCTGAGGCTGGTAACTCTAATGAACTTATCCTCTGCAGCAGAGGTAACTCTGGGTCTTCCATTCCTGCGGTGGTCCTCATGAGAGCCAGTTTCATCATAGCGCTTGATGGTTTTTGCGACTGCAGTTGAAGAAACTTTCAAAGGTCTTGACATTTTCCGGATTGACTGACCTTCATGTCTTAAAGTAATGATGGACTGTAATTTCTCTTTGCTTATTTGAGCTGTTCTTGCCATAATATGGACTTGGTCTTTTACCAAATAGGGCTATTTTCTGTATAGCACCCCTACCTTGTCACAACACAACTGATTGGCTCAAACGCATTAAGAAGGAAAGAAATTCCACAAATGAACTTTTAAAGAAGGCACACCTGTTAATTGAAATGCATTCCAGGTGACTACCTCATGAAGCTGAGATAATGCCAAGAGTGTGTAAAGCTGTCAAGGCAAAGGGTGGCTACTTTGAAAATTCTCAAATATATTTTGATTTGTTTACCACTTTTTGGTTACTACATGATTCCATATGTGTTATTTCTTATTTTTGATGTCTTCACTATTATTCTACAATGTAGAACATTGTGAAAATAAAGAAAAACCCTTGAATGTGTAGGTGTGTCCAAACTTTTGACTGGTACTGTACATGATGTCCTATTCCCCATGACCATCTGAAGTACTGACCTGTGACATTCTGGATGTGTGTGCATGTACACACATGTTGGAGTTATTTCCAGCTGCGTACAGTCATGGTCAGATGGATGGAGAGATGACAGTGTGAAGGCCAGAGACTGGGACAGATCCTGTGTTTGCTCTCTGACATGGGAGTGTTACATTTTTTCCACCTACTTCAAAACCACCCCACTCTGCCTTCCTCTGCATACATGGGTAGATGGATAGGTAGTTTACACTCTCTGTAAGGATCAGGTGCACTTTATACAGTATAAGACATTTTGAGACTTTTTAGATATTGGAGTTTGAGTGTTCTTTAGATGGTGGCTGGAGACCTTTGCCAGTTTCTGGGAGTTAAGAAAACCAGGACCAGCCCCTATCATCCGCAATGTGATGGGATGGTGGAACGATTGAATTGAACACTCATCGATCAGCTGGCCAAGACACAGCCCCAATAGCCTTGTGAGTGGGACAAGTGTCTCATCCAAGTCGCCCTGGCATACAATATGATGTTTTTACATGCACAGTGAAGCATTACATGCTATATTAGGTAAATGGATCGATTTTTATTCTATGAACGTATTCCTTACATATACCTTACACAAAACCGAACACATACAAAACAATAAATATAGAGAAATACCACTAAAATACAGAAATTCTTAATTCAACATTTCTCATGTATATGCATTACAGCTGATGTGGTGGTCTGCCTGTCATAGTAGAGCTACAGATTCCATAGCCCAAAGAAACACATTGTATTCCCCACTGAAATTAAACACACCGAACCGTTCTGGTTTATTCATACAAATACCTCTAAAATTCTCCAAGGTGATAACAAGAGAGCAGCCTAAAGCCTGAGGAATGTTTATAAACCACTATTTACATGACTATGATCCCTCTGCCGACAGACCAGGGAGAAAATGCATCCACATTAACAGTATGGCTGGTTCAGGACTTCCTGTAAAGGACAGAACCCACAGCCATCTACACAGAGGCCTCCCCTTCGCCATTATCCACAATGCTCTCGCAGTGGTTCGATTCTCTCTCTCTCCTCCACCTCCACACCTGACAGTGCTCTCTCATCAACCCCTCCTCCTCCCTTCTTCCTCTCCATCACTCTAGAAACCGTAGGGGGAGACGAACAGGGTGACCTTGGTGAGGTAGCGTCCCAGCAGGGCTTGTCTCTCCAGCTCACTCATCTCTACCTCTGCCTCCAGTGTAGCAGGGCCCTGCACAGGGCTCACCAGGAGCAGGGTGCCCGTCTGCCTGCCAGAGCGCTGCATGCTGAAGTGACTGCGGCCGTGACTCCCCAGCAGGCCGAAGCGCAGCGTGTCACCCAGCACACGGGCTGCAGACACCCGGAAGAGCACCCGTGGGGCGGACATGTTGGAGACCACGGGCAGGAAGTGGAAGGAGACTGAGTTGGGAGCCTGGGAGCAGGCCTTGTCCCCCACCATGCACGGGTTTCTCTCACACCGCCTGGGACAGCGGCAGAGGAAGAGGAGGGTCAGGGATAGGGTGAGAGGAGGGTTCTTCTTGTTTCACCCAGTAAATATAACTTAACTGAGAAATAAATCCAAACTCACATCCTTAAACCACTGTAATAATGTTGTTTTTTGATTGTATATCTGTCTTAATTGTAGTAGTTATTTGTATGAGCAATAAAAAACGAGTTGTCTATTGCAAGGGGTAATTTAGGTGAATGAGGTTATGTGAGCCAAATGATGGGTGGAGCTGCACTGTGGTGACAATGAAATGAAAACTTTTTTCTCTCTCTCCACAGAAACAGCTAAATTGTATGTTTGTTTTAAAATGATTGAGAGTGTAGGGAACCTCCTCCTTCATTGAGTCAGTGTAGCTTTCAGTCTCTTAGTGCAACCATTATATGATTTGGTTAAAACAGGAAGCATAGTGACACCAGATAGGGTAGTAGTGTTGTTTTTGTTACAGCAGTTACTCACATAGGAGAGGTCTTGATGTATGTGGCGTTTTTGATGCGAGGACACGCCACTTGCACACACTGGAATCCCCCGTATGTATTCACACACTCCTGGTCCTGGGTGCAGTTGTGAAGTCTGCTCTCACACTCGTCAATATCTATCCAGAGGGGGAGACAAGAAACACAAGTAACCAAGACTGGTTCCCACTGAGCCCACGTCACATCTCCAAAGCTTCAGTTTAACTGGAAAGACTTTATCATATAATACAGAGTTACCGTTAGTTCCCATTGCATTTACAAAGCAGCACTGTTCCATCAAAAGCCCATGGACGCTAGTAGTGCTAAATATCAGAGGCGGTATCAAAATTCAATCTCCCTGTAACAACCACTGGCTCAGGCCAGGGTACTGTGGTAGCTCTTCTTGGTGGAATGGTCTGGTCTGTGGTCCTGACCTTTGCAGCTGCGGTTGTCTCTGGTCAGGTTGTAGCCATGAGGGCACACACAGTGGTAGCTGCCAGGGGTGTTGATACAGGTGTGCATACACAGGCGCCCAGGCTGCGCCAGCGGAAACAGCTGACACTCATCCATGTCTGAAACACAGTTCCTCAATATATCACTGATATACACTGAACAAAAATATAAACTTAACATGTAAAGTGTTGGTCTCATGTTTCATGAGCTGAAATAAAATATCTCTGAAATGTTCCATGTGCAAAAAAAGGTTATTTCTCTCAAATGTTGTGCACAAATTAGTTTTAATCCCTGTTAGTGAGCATTTCTTCTTTGCCAAGATAATCAATCCCCCTGACAGGTGTGGCATATCAAGAAGCTGATTAAACAGCATGATCATTACACAGGTGCACCTTGTGCTGGGGACAATAAAAGGCCACTCTAATATGTGCAGTTTTGTCACACAACACAATGCCACAGATGTTTCAAGTTTTGAGGGAGCGTGCAATTGGCATGCTGACTGCAGGAATGTCCACCAGAGCTGTTGCCAGATCATTTAATGTTAATTTCTTTACCAAAAGCCGCCTCCAACATTGTTTTAGAGAATTTGGCAGTATGTCCAACCGGCCTCACAACCACAGACCAAGTGTATGGAGTTGTGTGGGCGAGCGGTTTGCTGATGTCAACTTTGTGTACAGAGTGCCCCATGGTGGCGGTGGGGTTATGGTATGGGAAGGCATAAGCTACAGACAACAAACACAATTGCATTTTATCAATGGCAATTTGAATGCACAGATACAGTGGGGGGAAAAAGTATTTAGTCAGCCACCAATTGTGCAAGTTCTCCCACTTAAAAAGATGAGAGAGGCCTGTAATTTTCATCATAGGTACACGTCAACTATGACAGACAAATTGAGGAAAAAAAATCAAGAAAATCACATTGTAGGATTTTTTATGAATTTATTTGCAAATTATGGTGGAAAATAAGTATTTGGTCACCTACAAACAAGCAAGATTTCTGGCTCTCACAGACCTGTAACTTCTTCTTTAAGAGGCTCCTCTGTCCTCCACTCGTTACCTGTATTAATGGCACCTGTTTGAACTTGTTATCAGTATAAAAGACACCTGTCCACAACCTCAAACAGTCACACTCCAAACTCCACTATGGCCAAGACCAAATAGCTGTCAAAGGACACCAGAAACAAAATTGTAGACCTGCACCAGGCTGGGAAGACTGAATCTGCAATAGGTAAGCAGCTTGGTTTGAAGAAATCAACTGTGGGAGCAATTATTAGGAAATGGAAGACATACAAGACCACTGATAATCTCCCTCGATCTGGGGCTCCACGCAAGATCTCACGCCGTAGGGTCAAAATGATCACAAGAACGGTGAGCAGAAATCCCAGAACCACACGGGGGGACCTATTGAATGACCTGCAGAGAGCTGGGACCAAAGTAACAAAGCCTACCATCAGTAACACACTACGCCGCCAGGGACTCAAATCCTGCAGTGCCAGACGTGTCCCCCTGCTTAAGCCAGTACATGTCCAGGCCCGTCTGAAGTTTGCTTGAGTGCATTTGGATGATCCAGAAGAGGATTGGGAGAATGTCATATGGTCAGATGAAACCAAAATAGAACTTTTTGGTAAAAACTCAACTCGTCGTGTTTGGAGGACAAAGAATGCTGAGTTGCATCCAAAGAACACCATACCTACTGTGAAGCATGGGGGTGGAAACATCATGCTTTGGGGCTGTTTTTCTGCAAAGGGACCAGGACGACTGATCCGTGTAAAGGAAAGAATGAATAGGGCCATGTATCGTGAGATTTTGAGTGAAAACCTCCTTCCATCAGCAAGGGCATTGAAGATGAAACGTGGCTGGGTCTTTCAGCATGACAATGATCCCAAACACACCGCCCGGGCAACGAAGGAGTGGCTTCGTAAGAAGCATTTCAAGGTCCTGGAGTGGCCTAGCCAGTCTCCAGATCTCAACCCCATAGAAAATCTTTGGAGGGAGTTGAATGTCCGTGTTGCCCAGCGACAGCCCCAAAACATCACTGCTCTAGAGGAGATCTGCATGGAGGAATGGGCCAAAATACCAGCAACAAGTGTGTGAAAACCTTGTGAAGACTTACAGAAAACGTTTGACCTGTGTCATTGCCAACAAAGGGTATATAACAAAGTATTGAGAAACTTTTGTTATTGACCAAATACTTATTTTCCACCATAATTTGCAAATAAATTCATTAAAAATCCTACAATGTGATTTTCTGGATTTTTTTCCTCATTTTGTCTGTCATAGTTGACGTGTACCTATGATGAAAATTACAGGCCTCTCTCATCTTTTTAAGTGGGAGAACTTGCACAATTGGTGGCTGACTAAATACTTTTTTTCCCCACTGTATACCGTGACAAGATCCTGAGGCCCACTGTCGTGCCATTCATCTGCCGCCATCACCTCATGTTTCAGCATGATAATGCACAGCCCCATGTCGCAAGGATCTGTACATAATTCCCATAAACTGAATATGTCCCAGTTCTTCCATGGCCTGCATACTCACCATACATGTCAGCCAATGAGCATGGAATGCTCTGGATTGACGTGTACGACAGCGTGTTCCAGTTCCCGCCAATATCTAGCAACTTCGCACAGCCATTGAAGAGGAGTGGGACAACATTCCACAGGCCACAATAAACAGCCTGATCAACTCTATATGAAGGAGATGTGTCGCGCTGCATGAGGCAAATTTTGGTCACACCAGATACTGACTGGTTTTCTGATCCACGCCCCTACCTTTTTTTGAAGGTATCTTTGATCTACAGATGCATATCTGTATTCCCAGTCATGTGAAATCCATAGATTAGGGCCTAATGAATTTATTTCAATTGACTGATTTCTTTAAATGAACTGTAACTCAGTAAAATCTTTGAAATTGTTGCATGTTGCGTTTATATTTTTGTTCAGTATATATAGACAATACTCTAGGCTACATATTTTTTAAGCTCTGATGTATTGGGTCCACTTCCAAAATCACAACAGTACACTGACTGCACTCCTATATAAAAATTCCATGACTTACATACAGCTCTAAGATTGGCTGGTTCTAAGAACCGATTGATTCTTAAAAGTGTAACACATTATTTAGTGGAGCCCATGGTGTTTGACCATATTGATGGTTGATTCTTCTTTCTTCTTTACAGGTAAGGTTTGGCCGTACTGACCTGTGCAGATGTTGCTGTCGCGGCCGCTTATGGTGAAGCCTGCATCACAGATGCAGTGGGAGGAGCCCTGGAACTGGGTGCAGCGGGACGGACGGACGAAGGCCGAGAGTGGGGCAGAGGACGGGGAGGATGTGGAGATGGAGGAGGAAGAAGTGGAGAGGGAGGAGGGGTAGAGGTAGGAAGTCGTGGGTAGGGCGGCGGGGATGTTGGTCACAGTGTTTAAGACTGGGGACCAAAAAGGGACCATAAAATTACACCACTAAGCAGAGCAAGTAAGAGCAATGAGACAAGGTCTACACATGTTACAGTACAGTATAAAACAAGTGGCTCCCCATTCATACACAGAGATAGTACTCCAGTAGTGTTGAATATTACATACAGTAATAAATGATGTACCATATCATAGTAGAATAACACAATGTTATCATTCTAGGCACGGAGGGAGCAGAGACACAGACAGAAGTGGGTGAGGGCTCAGGGCTCTGACTCACCCCTGCATGTGGGCTGCTGGCCGCTCCACTTCAGAGACGCCAGACACACTCTGGTCTGGGGCCCCAGCAGCTCATAACCTGCCTTACACACAAAGTGCACCTCGTGCCCCACACCAAACACCCTCCCCAGCCTCCTGCCGTAGGCCAGGCTCTCAGGCTTAGGACAGGTGGCTGAACAGGGAGAGGGAGAGACATACAAACAGTAAGACAAGCATGACATATTCAGACAGACAAGCATAAAACAAGACATTGGCAATGGTAAGTCCAGTAATTATCAAAGTGCTAGTGCAATACTATACAGTATACACAGTATATATTATAAAAGAGAAAAAAACATTAATGTGCAAATGACAAACTAAGCAGTCACTGTATCTATCTCTCTCACCGTTGTGCCCCTTGGTGGTATGTTTGACGGTTACGGTACCGCTGTTCTGCAGGGTACTCAGTCTCTTCCTCAGGGAGCGAAGGCTCTGCTGGTAGGTAGCCTCCTGGGCTAACAGCAACTTCTCCACCTGATGAAGAGAGCTCTGCAGCTCCTGCCTCAACGGACAGTCCTGTAGGGGGCACAGCAAGGTCCTGATCAGTCAGTAGACAGCCACAATTTTAAGATTTCAGTTGACCCGAATATTCGTAAAATATTGGCCCTAAATGTTTTGGGTGAGTGAATGAAAGATTCAATGAGTTTACTGTAGAGTAACACTGTAGTGGGATCCAATGATTCAAATCAACATAACAAGAGATACCAACCTACCCAGGTTAGTAAATTATTAATTACAGATCAGTGGTAGGAGACATATTACTATAAACCCATAGGAATATGTCAATAGCTTTCCTTGCACATTCTGGGGGGAAATGGATACTGTATGTCAAATCTGCTTTATTTAAAGTGCAAACTATAGACAGTCATGTTTGGCTCCATTCAATGGAAAACACCCACTGAGGTATCACCAGTGTGTGGCTGCTCACTTCGTACAAACAAAATAAAAAAAGTGTACGTAGTATTTACTCAAACAGGAGTAAAAGGTGTGAAGTCTACAGGTGAGATTTTCAGTGTCAGAGCTCCTTGTGAAATGTTTTGCTCCAATTACTGAAGTCCCACCTGTGTGAACATTTTGTGTGTCAGGAATTAGTGACCAAAGAGTCTCCAAGTTCTCCAAATGTGTAAGGACCACTTTGATATAAGAGAAAATGTAAGAGCAAATGTGATCCCGGAAGTCAGTTATTTTTTATTGGCCACAATTTGCAGCTCCTAGGTGTCAGAATGCCATGGATGTCTTCTTGTTTATGCAGTTCGAGAAATGCTGAACTAAATAGAATCCATTAATTTCCCCACTGATGCCTTTAGTAATACAATGTCACTTATTTCCAAATGCACAATATGGATTTAGTATCAGTAGGGCAATAGTTGTGCATGTCTTTTCATTACAATTAAATCCAACAAGCATTTTCATGCAACATTAAATAAAGCGGTCATTTTAAAATCAAAGCAATATTCCATTAAAAAGTAATCAGTCAAGAGAAACAAAACCAGTGCCAATAGCTGTTAGCTAGAACACGTGTTGTACTCACCTGCCCATGGGCAATGTAGAGGGGATGCAAACCCAAAATCACCATAACAACACTAAGCTGATTCATCATCCTAGAAAAAAATCCTCTGCACACCTTCACCTGGATTCTTGGTTGATTAACAAAATAAACCAATTAAAATAAGTTACCTTTATATAGCCTACAGTTTTTGGTTGATTAAATCGAATAGCCTGCAAATATAAATAAATGCTCTTTCAATTGCAAGAGTAGGACTCATTCAAACATGACAGCGACCTGAACAGTAAACACAGCTAACGTTTCTCCTCTACTTTTTTTAGAGAGCAGATGCCACATTTCTCCCCGCCCAGTTGGTTCTTTTAAAGCCCAGACAAGGAGCTGAACCCACCACTAGCTGAGTAGTAGGTCGCACATCTGCATAGAAGTAAAACCATGGCTTTGACTTTAGATACTAGTGTACCAAAATAGAAGGCTAAATTATAAGGCAATGTTTCTCAATTGGTAGGTTACAATAGGCAAATATATATTTTGATCATCTTGTGAACCCAAAAAATAGTTGTCATGTTTATAGTAGACCTAGGCCGGACTGCTGCTTGTGACACGCAGAATGACAATGGGCTCACTCTTTCCAGCGAGATCACACCTTTCATGCGCAGTCTCCCCCGTGTTTTCAGTTGCGGTGTGCTAGATGTCCACAAGGTGACGCCTTTTTGTTTGGAGCCGTATCCAGTGGATCCAGTGCTCTGAATTCTCCTATCTTGGCTCGGCATTTGGAAGATGTGAAGTAGTCGCAGAGAACTCGTCTGGTATTTTGTAATTAGAGGACAGTGTCATAATATGATTCAGAGACTTATTGCGAATAGTTGCTATGATATTTTGATTTTACAGTGAGACAACAGCTCCAGATCTAAATCCATATAACATTTGTTATTCCTTAGGCTACTACTCTTGAGCCCCAGAAAAGGGGAGTTAAAATAGTGATGTGGAGAATGAATCTGTGTAGTGTAGTCTGCAGGGCCAGCGTGTGTGTTTCTGTTTGTCTGTGTGTGTGTCTGTGTGCGTGTGTGTACTTGTACGCGTGTGTGTACGTGTGTGTGTGTGCATTTGCTCCCCTCCAGGGCATGGAGAGCCTGTAAGCTTGCATAAAATGGGGGATTTAGAAAGGACATGATTGGAAACAGCCCAACAGGGACAATGACATTGGGATTAACTGTCAGGCTAACCCAAGCAATATTTTCCTGTGGAATTGAACTCAGTAGATGCATTGTATGGCAAACTAGAATGCAATTACTCAGCCGGTGGCGATTGGAGGAAGGGATGACAATTACAATCCTCTTATGAAAACTGCTGTCTCTTAATGACTTTCAGTTCAGGCAAGAGGAGGAAGCCACTACCAATTACACACAGAATACCTTTATCAGGGCTTCATACACACACGCTCGCACGCACACACACACACATACATACTGCATAGACACAAGACTGAGAGAATATGGAGATAGAGTTGAAGTCGGAAGTTTATATACACCTTAGCCAAATACATTTAAACTCAGTTTTTCACAATTCCTGACATTTAATCCTAGTAAAAATAAGTTGGGGGAATTTTGGCCCATTACTCCTGACAGAGCTGTTGTAACTGAGTCAGGTTTGTAGGCCTCCTTGCTCGCACACGCTTTTTCTGTTCTGCCCATACATTTTCTATAGGATTTGGAAGACCCATTTGCGACCAAGCTTTAACTTCCTGACTGATGTCTTGAGATGTTGCTTCAATATATCCACATAATTTTCCTCCCTCATGATGCCATCTATTTTGTGAAGTGCACCAGTCCCTCCTGCAGCAAAGCACCCCCACAGCCTGATGCTGCCACCCCCGTGCTTCTTGATTGGGATGGTGTTCTTTGGCTTGCAAGCAACCCCCCTTTTCCTCCAAACATAACGATGGTCATTATGACCAAACAGTTCTATTTTTGTTTCATCAGACCAGAGGACATTTCTCCAAAAAGTACGATCTTTGTCCCCATGTGCAGTTTCAAACCGTAGTCTGGCTTTTTATTATGGTTTTGGAGCAGTGGCTTCTTCCTTGCTGAGCGGCCTTTCAGGTTATGTCTATATAGGACTCGTTTTTACTGTGGATATAGATACTTTTGTACCTGTTTCCTCCAGCATCTTCACAAGGTCCTTTGCTGTTGTTCTGGGATTGATTTGCACTTTTCGCACCAAAGTACGTTCATCTCTAGAGGACAGTGTAGAACGCGTCTCCTTCCTGAGCGGTATGACGGCTGCGTGGTCCCATGGTGTTTATACTTGCATACTATTGTTTGTACAGATGAACGTGGTACCTTCAGGCATTTGGAAATTGCTCCCAAGGTTGAACCAGACTTGTGGAGGTCTACAATTTTCTTTCTGAGGTCTTGGCTGATTTCTTTTGATTTTCCCATACATCCACAGGTACACCTCCAATTGACTCAAATTATGTCAATTAGCCTATCAGAAGCTTCTACATCATTTTCTGGAATTTTCCAAGCTGTTTAAAGGCACAGTCAACTTAGTGTATGTAAACTTCTGACCCACTGGAATTGTGATACAGTGAATTATAAGTGAAATAATCTGTCTGTAAACAATTGTTGGAAAGTAGATGTCCTAACCGATTTGCCAAAACTATAGTTTGTTAACAAGACATTTGTGGAGTGGTTGAAAAACGAGTTTTAATGTCTCCAACCTAAGTGTATGTAAACTTCCGACTTCAACTGTAACTAGACACATTAAGAGCAGATCAGGTGTATTAGCTAACTATTCCCTCCAGAGGAGAGGACCATAGAGCGGAGTAAGCCCTCACTCTCTAGCCCAGTGGACTATCATCACCCACCGTGGGGCTGCTGGTGTTAACTGGCTCTCTGGCCTGCTACCTCCGACAAGCCATTAGTGGTGAGCCGCTCAGCTCTGTCCGGAGGCTGTATTAATTAGGGAAGGGGTAGACAGAACCCTCCTGGAGTTCACTGATCCTCAACACCGCTGCCTGCCTACCTGCAGCCACAAACTGTTTTTTTGCCGGTTCTCTTCATTCAAGAGCCATGATGAGGATGCACTGTATGTTCTCTTCTATAAAGTGTGGTGGTGGATTTGTGGGTGTGTTACTGTAAATGAAGTAGGTTTGTGTTGTTTCTCACAGGTGCTGATTGGTGGAAGACTGTCTTTCCTCCTGAAACTGTGAAACATTTGAGTGATACAAAATGGTTGTACAGGTTGCAGAGAATATATGTTGAACTCACTTGTCTGCCTTCAATGGAACCGTCTTTCGACCTCATTTTAGTCCAGAGATGCTATGTTTTTGAGTTGATAGCAGCATATCCTCATTGGGATTCATTTTAAGTGTAGTAGTAGTAGTAGTAGTGATAAGAGGTTGCTGATGGGGGTAAACTTCATAGATAAATAAATAAACCCAAGAGAGCACAATCCACTCAAGATCATCATATCCTTATTAGATAAGACGAGTTTAATTAAAATGTAATCATTTAATGGATTTTCTAATTAAAATGGAGTTAGCTGATGGCCTCTCTCTCATTAGCTCGACAGAGTGCAGTCGTGCGATGGCTGCTTTTACAGAACTTTGGATCTCTCTCTCGCTGTGTGTGTGTATGTCTAATGTGTAGGTGTGTATTTCTTAAAACTTTGAGATGTACAGTATGTACTGTATGTAACTAAACTGTTTTCTAAGGATAAACACATGAGAATGAAGCAGTTACTGATAAATGGCAGTGGAGGGCCATTCATTTGTCCTCATGTCATTTTGCAGTATGTACAGTTAACTCTAGGTGAAGTCTTCAAGTAAGCTCGCTATAATTAAATCAATAACATTTCTAATACATTTACATTCAACAGTAGAGTAATCACACATTCCTCACTGCTCTTATGCAATTAGATGCACTTACATTGAGAGACTGTCATGCTTTAAAGGCCCAGTGCTGTATAAAACAGGGTTTTCCTGTGTTTTATACACTACCAGTCAAAAGTTTGGACACACCTACTCATTCAGGGGCTTTTCTTTTTTACATTGTAGAATAATAGTTAAGACATCGAACTATGAAATAACATATGTGGAAACATATAGTAACCAAAACAGTGTTAAAAAAACAAAATATATTTTGTATTTGAGATTCTTCAAATAGCCACCCATTGCCTTGATGACAGCTTTGCACACTCTTGGCATTCTCTCAACCAGCTTCATGAGGTAGTCACCTGGAATGGATTTGAATTAACAGGTGTGCCTTCTTAAAAGTTAATCTGTGGAATTTCTTTCCTTCTTAATGCGTTTGAGTCAATTGGTTGTGTTGTGACAGGGTGGGGGGGGGGGGGGTATACAGAGGATAGACATATTTGGTAGAAGACCAAGTCCATATTATGGCAAGAACAGCTCAAATAAGCAAAGAGAAACGACAGTCCATCATTGCTTTAAGACATGAAGGTCAGTCAATACGGAAAATTTCAGTGTAGTTGCAAAGTGTAGTTGCAAAAACCATCAAGCGCTATGATGAAACTGGCCCTCATGAGGACCACCACAGGAATGGAAGACCCAGGGTTACCTGTGCTGCAGAGGATAAGTTAATTAGAGTTACCAGCCTCCGAAATTGCAGCCCAAATAAATGCTTCACAGAGTTCAAGTAAGAGACACTTCTCAACATCACTGTGTGAATCAGGCCTTCATGGTCGAATTGCTGCAAAGAAACCACTACTAAAGGACACCAATAAAAAGAAGAGACCTGCTTGGGCCAAGAAACACGAGCAATGGACATAAGACCGGTGGAAATATGTTATTTGGTCCAAATGTGAGATTTTTGGTTCCAACTGCCGTGTCTTTGTGAGATGCGGTGTGGGCGAATGGATGATCTCCGCATTTGTAGTTCCCACCGTAAAGCATGGAAGAGGAGGTGTTATGGTGTGGGGGTGCTTTGCTGGTGACACTGTCTGTGATTTATTTAGAATTCAAGGCACACTTAACCAGCATGGCTACCCCAGCATTCTGCAGCGATACACC